TGGCGCTTGAGATAAGGTGGGCAGGGAAGGAGGCCTTTCAGGAGATGACATTTAAGTTGAGATAGCCCTGTGATCATTCAGGGGCACAGCAGAGCAAAGGCCTTCAGGTGAAAACAATCCTGTTAGGAGAAACAGAAAGGGGTTTGGCTGAAGTGTGGTTAGCCCGGGAAGATGAGTGGATGTGAGACGATTGTCTTCCCCCATAGAATGTTGGCTCCTGAGAGGAAGGCTCTTATCTGCTGCCAGTGCTGTATCCACAGGGCTTAGCGTGCTGCCTAGCATACAGCAGGTGCTCCATATTTGTTGGGTGAAACTAAATGGAAGGTTGGGGCCAGTTTGTTTGGAACAGGCAGCCTAAATTGTGACCCTAAAGCCATGTTTGCAAGTCTCTTGACAGGCACTCGGTCTGGCCCATCAAGGCCAAGTGTCTGGTTCACTGGATGACTGTAGCAGATTAGAAGCTGCTGTTAAGCCTTGCATTTCTTTTTATGGCTTGACAGCCTTTGTCTTTGTTAAGGGTTGGGAGATATCAGGAGACCTGTGAGATTCCCCAGGTGGACTCTTGAGGCTGGTCCTTAAGGAGCCTTAGTCTTTCCTTGGATCCCGAAAATGGAGAAGAAACTTTGGAGTGATTTAGTCTGGCTCCTCCTGTGGTTGGTTATTTTTAAGAAGGGACAATAGTCCTTGACTCCTTGCCCGGAAGAAGACACCTGCTAAGCAGCTTTTTTTTGTTGGTGAGAAGGAGTGGCCCTGAGCTAACATCTGTTGCCAATCTTCTTCTTTTTGCTTGAGGAAGATTGGCCCTGAGCTAACACCTGTGCCAGTCCTCCTTTATTTTGTATGTGGGACATTGCCACAGCATGGCTTGACGAGTGGTATGTAAGTCTGTGCCTGGGATCCGAACCTGCGAACCCCAGGCCGCCAAAGCGGAGCACGCAAACTCAACCACTATGCCCCCTAAGCAGCTTTTTAAAGTTGATCTCTGGGAGGGGACAGGGGAAGGAAGACCATTTCCTCCTTCTGAGCATTTGTCCATTCACAGGTCCACCCCCTTCTCAGCCCTCCCTCGTTCTCTTACGATTTTATTCTGAAGCCCAGAGATGAGTACAGAATGGCCTCAACTGGGAGCCCTTCCTTTCCTCTGTCCCCAGACTCTCATTGGAATATGCTCTGTGGCCTATTGGATCATTTGGAGTGATTTTTACTAAGTCACTTGACATCTGTGATCCCAAGTAGGATGCTTGAGGTAGAAATCAGATTGGTTTCAGGAGCGTGGGGGCCAGACCTGAGGCTGAGTCCCATCTCCACTGCCTGCAATCTGTGTGGCCTTGGCCAAGTTGCCCAACTTCTCTAAGTTAATCCTCCCACCCGCTTATAGAATAAAGGCATCAACTGCTCTCTGTGAAGATTAAATGAGCTAATATATGTAAAGTAAATACTAGTTTTGCAGTAATCCTTCTATTCTCTCCTACCCTTTATTATTTTCTTCCTCATGGCCCTTAGTCCTGTTTTCACACAGTCATTCCCAGCAAGCTGTTATTCAAAATCCTGTTGATTAATAAAGCTGTCGCTGCAGCAGTTCTGCCATTATATAGACTCTGGCTTAACACAGTGAACGTGGTGTGACATATTTATTCATAATATTACTTATGTCAGCCTCTGTGTAGTGATGTTATTGAATGCACCTTTGATGCTCTGTGTTATCTGGAGATTTTTTAGTGTGTGTGTATTTTTTGCTCTTCCTTTTCAGTACCATTGAAGGAGAAGAAACTCATGGAAGTCAAAATAGGGGAGCTGCCAAGCTGGATACTGATGCGGGATTTCACCCCTAAAGGCATTGCTGGAGCGTTTCAAAGAGGTCAGAGCCAGCCTTATGGACATATGTAAACAAGAGCAGTCTTTGGGTCTTCAGTTCTCTTTTGCCCTGAATTGATTTGGGCAGTAAAGGCCTTGTCTCAGACCAGAAAGTTATGTAGAGGACAGGGAGAGATTGTTAACCCTTGACTTGCCATGTTTGGTTGGTCCTATCAAAGGCTGGCTCTGAGATATTTCAGCCAAAGTGTTTTCTGTTCCTTGGACCTGGTACCACTGCCAACGTCTTAAATATCCTTGAGCATTTTTACGTCATAAGATTTATTTAAGAGGAAAATTAGTTGGTAACATAGTAAACATCAATCTATAATATAATGCTCATCTCCCTGCCAGGGAAAACTTCCAAGACGAACATTTGAAATGGTCTGTCCTTCAGGTCTGTGCCTTTTTAAGGGCACAACTAGTCAGATCAGTCCTGTGGAACCCATGTCATCATTCCAGGAATAAAGACCCACATCATCCCACGGGGACCCGCGTGGTGTCCAGCCGCCTCGGGGCCCCTCCTTCTGTGTGGCTATCTTGTGTGCCATGCTTCCTCCTGCCCTGAGGCCTTTCCTCAGCTTTGCCCTCAGATTAGAATACTCTGCCTTGTCTCCACACTTAGTGGAGATGAATGTGGCCTTTTCATGCTCACAGCTCCCTGCCCTGCTTCTTCATGGCATCCCTCACTATTGTAAACTGTGGCCTATGATCATTTCATTCTTTTATTGACTAGGCTGTGAGCTCCAAGGGCAGAAACTGTTTGTTTCCTTGCTGGTGGGGGCATCCAGTAAAGAGATGAATGCATGAAGCCTTCTTCCTCCCCAAGGGCCAGGCTGACCCAGCTGGCCACAGCCAAGTGGCCCTTACTGGGTGTTGGATTCTCGGTCAGAATTAGGGTAAGGGGGTTCCCAGGGCAGGAAGTGAGGGTGAGGTAGGATCAAAGGCCGAGAGGCTGCGGCAAGTCTACAAGATCAACGCCAAAGAGGAGGGGCAGAATCAAGGTGGGCCTAGCTGGAGCTTGTCCTAGTCTCGTGGGGACCCAGGACCCTATGAGGCATTTGTGCTTCTCCCCCCGTACCAACTGGTGAAGGTAGGGTGAGTGGCTTAGAGCCTGAGCAGGACTAGGTCCCTGAATTTAAGCTGGACTCAGCTTTGCACTGCGTGAAGCATTCACAGCAAAGCAGGGCACTGACCTCCTCTCGTTTGCAGGTTACTACAGGTATTACAATAAGTATATCAACGTGAAGAAAGGGGGCGTCGCTGGGATTTCTATGGTGCTGGCAGCTTATGTGCTTTTCAACTATTGCCGTTCTTACAAGGAACTCAGTGAGTGTCTCTTGGATTGCCTTGTCTTCAGTAGGGTTCCCATGAGAGGGTGGTATTGGTTCACGGTCAGATTTAGAAGTCCATCATTCTGATAGCTGAAGAATTGGAGGGACTTATCAGAATATAGTATATAGGATATTATTTTAAGTGAGAAAATTCTGGCAAAGAGAAAATAAAGACGGGAAAAATAAGATAAAGCTGGGGTAAAGGTTAATACTTGGGAAGCTTTCTATAAGATATGCAGGCTCTGTGAAAGGTGGGTGGAAGATTTAGCTTCATCTTCCTAGCAGCCAACGCAATGAGGGAAATAGGTTGAGTGGTATAATCCAATGTCTGTGCAGTGTTCTAGAAAAGCATAGCTGTTCCTGGTTCTGAGACCTAAAAGGAGCTTGTCTGGTAATAGATGCTGGGGACAGTGTCACTGGCAGCCACTGACTGGGTTTCATGGGCTGTTTCTCACAGTGTCCAGCCCCCTGCCAGTCTGCAGCATCTGGGGGGATGTTGGCTCTAAAGGATGGGCCCTTGGGGGCTGTTTGCCTGAGTGGGTGTAGGCAGGTGAGAGATTAGTTCCTGAGGTGCCTCTGTGCCCCCATGTCTGCCAACACCACTGAGACGCTGGCAGCAGGTTCTGGGTCATCTCCTGAAAGGAATTCTCAGGATGGTTCTCCATGATTTTAGCCTCCCACCCTCCCCATCTTGTGCTCTCTCTATACCTCTTAAGAAACTTATTGTTTTGCCTTTCCAACTTCAGAACACGAGCGGCTCCGCAAGTACCACTGAAGAGGGCCATGTGGAGGCGCACTCTGCATTCCTGACCATGACCTTTGCCTGGCACCCCGGAACCCTTTCATATCCTAAGTGAGAACCCAATAAAAGATGACTGGTATACAGACTCCTTCACTAGTCTAGCCAATTCCCTGCACTCTAGGAGCTCCTGCTGCACAAGGCAGGATGAGACTGTTGTACAATCCCAAAGGCGGACTGTCCAGACAGCCCAGGGCTTTGAACCGTGAAGCCTTGGTGGGTTCCCCACACCACGGCTTTGGGATCTTGTCCCAGCTTAGTAGGGGGTGGGTGTCATCTAGAGTTAGATGAGTTACCCCTCTCAACAGTGCCCAGAGGTATTTCCCTGCTCTCTGCCTTGAGCAGCATAAGCACTTGCAGCCTTTTGTGAGCTGAGGCTTTTACACTCTAAAGCAGAAGTGCTGTGTTCCTAAGGCCTTCCCCCTCACCCCACCTTCCTGCATTACCCGGGATATCAGGCACTTGGGTGGTAGGCTGTGGTAGTGTGGGCCCTCCTGGTGAGGGAGGCTGACCTGCAGGAAGCTCAGTGGGTGATGGGGGGGCGGTGAGGGAAAGCACAGTCTCGATAGCTCACAACTGCCCCTGTATCCAGCACCCTCTTCCTTACCCTTCATCTTCATCAAAGGTCTTCAGTAAAGTAAGTGACATGAGGGCCAGAACCAGTTTCTTGTTGAGGGGTGTGTGGTGAGCACATATATTGCATGGAGTATAAGGGGCTGGGATGCTGTGGCTAATTATCTCCTAGAAGATGTGAGTTTGAATAAAGTAATATCCAACATCTGAGATGAAGGCAGGAGACCTGCTAGGTGGATGTTCCAAAGGCCAAGCTCCAGACTTTACCAGCTGCCAGTATAAAGGCCTCTTTCCCTGGCAGCTTGGCTGCCCTTGGTGAGATTCACATTTGTTGAAAGGGGACAAGTGAGCACCAGTAGCAGAGCTTTGTGCCAGACAGCTAGTGCAGCCAGTAGCAAGAGTCCTCTCCTCTGCACAGAGTCCCTGAAGTAATGAGACACAGCTTAAAAAACAAGCTTTAATCAACTTCATAAAAATGGTTCTTGTAATTGAACTTGGATAGGCCCACTTGCCCAGCCGGCTGCAGGTGATGGTTTCACATTTCGAGGCTCAGGAGCAGGGTGGCTCCTCCATAGGCCAAAGGTGTCTGAATGACAGCACAGACGCTTGATGGGGCAGGAGGTAGGTACACAGATGGACTGGGTCATCTATTTAAAGGGTGGTCTGCAGCTCCAGCGTAAGGTATACCTTAAACACTGTTAGGCAGGTGCCCCAAGAAAATAAGCCCAGAAGAAAAAGACCCTCACCCTTGAGAGCCCTGCACCCCTCCTCTCCGCCGCTGCCACCCTGGAGCAGGAGCAGGAGCAGGAGCAGGCGGAGGCAACAAGCGCACTTGAGTTTGCCCTGAAGGGCTGCCTCCTTCAAATCACATGGATAGGCACAGCTTCGGAATTCAGCAGGATGTGGAGGAAGCAGGCCTGACCTGGCCGCAGCTTTAAATGATCCACTAGCCCCCGGGGTCCCCAAGAACTGGTGTTATTATATAACGAGGCCCTGAGGGGAAGGACCGTCTGTCTTCTGTACAGAACTGCTTAGCACAAGCCCTGCCCCACAACTTCCTCCCTCCCCAGAGGGCGGTGCGCAGGGATTCCCAGACAGGAGGCCTTGATGCCTAGACAAACATGACGCCGACTTGAGGGACCAAACTGGAGCACATGTCCCCTTTTAAAAAAAAGATGACAGCAAAATGATAGGGAAACTGACAGACATAGCCCCTCAGAATGATGAACCCCAGCGTGCCTGCCTGTCAGCTCTAGCCAAAGTTGCCCCAACACTGGCATTAAACAGTTAAGTACACACTCCCAAGGAGGGCCCAGCGTCGTCCCCAACAGTGGGGCCCCTTGGGCTGCTCTGAGCTGCCTCCAGCTGCTGTCACTGTCCACTGAGAAAGGCCAAGTGCCCTTTGGTGCATCTGTTGGCGTAGTGTCCTTTTTCACCACACTGGGAACAGCAGAAAGGAAGGAGGAGACAAAAACACTGTTTTCAAATGCAATTTTCAACGAAGGCAGCACCCACCAAATACCAGGCTGGGGACCGGGATTCTGACATTCTCAGTGGTACAGATATGCTCTCACACTCAAGGGGAAGGGAGCTCCAGAAGGTACAGTGGCGCAGAAACTGCAGCCAGCAACTCAGCAGATGGAAGAGAGACTGCTGGGGCCAGAGGAGGATCTGAGCACACAGCAGAAGCTGTATCGGGCCTGCCCACGGAAGGGCTCTCAGGGTGGGTGACAGGAAGAAGGGAAGCCCATGGCACCAGAGCTCCCCCGCCTGTCCAGGAACCAACCCTGGACACAGCTGGCCGGTCACTTACCTCTGAGGCACCGTTCTGGGACTCCCTGGAGACGGGAGGGAACAACACAAGAGAAGCCACCCAGTTCCTCCCCCACCTTGGGGATTCATTGCTGTGGACACTGAGGGTGGGCTGCACCCAGAGTTTTCCCTCTTGGCTCTTGCATACCTGCCTAAGCTACCACTGGGGACAGGTTTTGGTCACAGGATCAGAGAGACGGGACGTCAGTTAGACTTGGGTGAACAGACCCATAGAATCACCCCTCAAAAACCTAGCACCAACCCTGACTTGCTTGTCTCGGCTCTGAATATCCAGGCCCTTCCTTAGCTTCTCTTCATTCATTCCTGTTACTCCTCAAAAAGCAGAAGGGAATTATAAGATCAGCAGTCTCAAGCACTGAACAAGGGGTCGTGAGAAGGGTAAGGGCACCACTCTGCATTTACCCACCCAGTGCCCTCCCAGTCCCTACTTCCCTGGCCTGGAATTCATGCTCTGCCTGGTCACTGCCCAGAACTCTTGCCCGCTGTATTCCGCTGACCCCACAGTCCCCATGTTTTCAAGTCTGTCTGATCTGTAGGTGTGACCTTTGTATGGATGAGTAGCCTGTGTAGCTACCAGTCAGCCCTTCAGCTGATGTGAGGACCAGAGGGAGGGACTACGTGGGCCCCTTCACGGCACTTGGCATGTCCATCGGCCTCCACGGCTGATCCTGGGAATCCAGGATTCCCATGAGGAATCTTGAATACTAACTGTGAAGCGCCCCTGGTAAGAAGTTGTCAGGTCCCCGCTACCACCTTGCTAAGATTTCAGGACTTAGGAGAGCTTGCTTCAGAGGAAGCCCTGCTGAAGACTCCTGGACGGGGGCAAGATGTCAGCTAGGCTGCCTCAGGACACCTAAGTTTCCTCACTGTCCTTAAGAACTGACCAGTTGGAAGCTGTCTGCTCTGCATGGGGCAGGCCTCCGGGTTCACCTCACCTTCTCCACACCCGCTCTCTCTACTCTCCTCTCCTGGTAGGGCTCAGGCTCAGAAATCTCTGAGGCCTTCCCTGAATCCACATGCACTTTTAACTATTGTGTCTTTGGGCACTCTCCCCCACCCTGCCCCCCGAACACAGACGCCTCCCAGGAAAGCAGCACCAGTCTTTGTTCTCTCAGCAAAGGTGGCACAGAGCAGGTGCTCAGTGAGTGTCTGATGGCCGTGAGAAGTGACCAGTGGCTCGGCCTTTCTTTAAAATGTCTAGGAACATTTTCAGTATACGCCTTTTGACTCGGACCTTCCAATTGGATTCATGGATGCTACCAACATCATCAGACAAGAGCTCACAAATGTCTAAGTGTCAGATTCAGCACTGTTTTTAGCAGCAAAAACTAAATAACTTAATTGTCTACCAACAGAGAACTGGTAAAATAAATTGTGGTTATATTATGCAGCCACTGAAAAAGATTAGATTTACATATACTGACATAGAGAGACCCACAATATATTGTAAAGAAAAAGAGACTATAGAATGTTATACATATTAGGGTCCTATTGATATTAAAATATATACCATCCTGGTGCTTTTGTGACTAGAAGTTTAGAAGAGCAGTTCTCCGAGTGGGGTCCAGGGGCCCTGGCAGGGTCCTCTCTAGGAGTTTGGAGTGTAAAGGAGTACCAAAACCAGAAAGTGTGAGATACACTGAATATGTGGCTGTTGTAGGAAAGGTGGGAATAAGGGACAACACTCATTTTGTATCCCAAACACTTCTACATCATCTAAAAGTTTTTACAAAAAGCGTGTACTAACTTTGCATTTTGTCTAATAATTCCCAAATCTGAAGTCTCTGCGAATCTACTTCTGTTGTCAGTTGTTTCTGCTGACTCACTCGGTGCTCATTTCCTTCTACATTTTGTGATTTCTAATTATGAACTCATCTTTGGAACTCTAGCTGTGAGAATTCTGTGTGGTCTGGGTTGAGGATAAATTCCTCAAAGAGCCAGGCACTCAGCTGGAGCTGTTTTAGATTAGAAAACTCTGCAGCCTTTCAGCCCTTACCAAGGGTATGAATATAGGCCTGAACTCATGGAAGGCCCACCAGTGACTACAAACTCTCAAGGGACTTTTATCTCTCCTTTCCATGCAGACCCAAGAATGAGACAGACAAGTTTTCTAGTAGGTTTTTCAAAAGTTTACCCTTTATAAGTTTAAAAGAGTGTCCTGTATGTGTGTGTGTAGGCGAGGAAAAGGGTGTTCTAATCTGATTCCTCCCTGCGTGGGCCTTAAGCTTCATCCCTTTCCCTTGGGTGTGCCCACGTGGGTTCTGAGGACAACAGAGGCTCCTCCTCCCTGGATTTGTGCTTCCACTTTGTTCCTAGCCTCTGGAAGATTTCCCTCCCTTTCTTGCAAGCACACTTCATTCATTCAACAGCGTGTTGAATCGTTCGTTTACCTGGCCTTGGTGTGTGGAAGGAAGTAGGATGGTCTCTAGCCCATCAGAGTGGCCCACTTTTACAATAAGCAAAAACAAAGATGTTTTCATTTTTCAAAATTAACTATCTGGGGAATGTGGGAATGGCCACTAACTGTGAAGACCCCATGCCGCCCCCAGCTCCGGGACTCACCTTGTAACAGGTGACCTGCTCCAGCGGCCGGGGTCCCCGGTTGCCTGCACTGCTGTTTTGACTCTGCATGACCCCGATGACCTGTGGGGCTCTCTGCTGATTGGGAGAAGAGTTCTGACTCGTTAACTGGATCAAGGAGGACGACCTTTGTAATGGCGGATTGTTACTTTGCTGGAAAGAGTTACACAACACGGTTTTACTGCGGAAAACACGTGCACGCAGACTACCAATGGGGACAGGAAAAAAGAGGGCGGGACTTCTCCCGCATGACCAGCAGGAAGAAGGGCTTCCACGTTGGCCCCACTCAGGAGAGCAGGCAGAAAAGAAACATCTGGTGATGATGGCAGGAGCCACTGCCCGAAAAACACCATGCAGACACACAAAAACGAAAAATAAAAGTAGAAAACAAAACACCAAAGAGACGAGGAGGTCTCTGGGGCAGTGGGGCGAGGGCATGAGCAGGCCTTACTTTTGTTTCTGAGGTTCTAGCTTCAGGTCAGGATGAACGCTTGGTTCAGCCAGATGTTTAGCAGCCTACACGGCGAGCAACAGTCACAGAAAAACAGTTGGAGGCTGACACGCTGACCTGCGGTCTACGGGCTGAGAGGGCCCTCCAACTAGGGAGTCATGAGAGCAAGGGGGACCGGGGCTCCTGGTGTGGGGACTGGACAGCAAGGCCATGTCTCAAGCAAGTGGGTTCCTGGCTCTGGTCCCCATAAATGCAGGAACCCCAGGTTAGAAAGCCCAGGTCGTCAGGGCTGTACCCACACCCAGGAATTCCTTTGCTGATGAGGAGTTCCATCTGATTTGCCCCACAACCTCCTGAGGGTGGCGGTCAATGCAGCAGGTGCAGCTACATCCCCTCCTGGCTGCTCAGCGTCTAGCACTGAGGAGGGCCAGGCGGGGCTTTGGCAACGGGCTCAGAATCCAACCCGGTAAGAGGTAAGGCTTCAAGATCGGTGGGCAGGTTTACGCAGCCTGTCGAGACTCTGCCTGGTGCACTTGGCCAGCCCTTCCTCTGGGCCCCCTACCCCCGAATCCCATCACCAAACCCAGGGTGCCCTTGGTTTTGGAAGGGCTGCTGCAGATTCCCGTTTGTCTATGGCATTCCCCTCTCCTCTCATACTTGAGGGGTCAGCCCACTGCTGGGTTGTGGGACCCCCTTGTCTAGAAAATTGGAGCCAGCTGGCCCTTCAGCCCTCTGTTCTATGCAGTCGAGAGCCTCCACCGAGAGCAATAACGGCACTGGCCAGAGTGCCTCGGGTCTGCTCCTGGCCAGCTGTGGCACCTCAGGCGAGTCCCTCCCTCTAGGAGTCTCAGTTTTCCCATTTGTAAAGGGAAGTGTCTGAACTGGAAGCAAGAGCAACAGACACATGGTGCCTACACTGCCCTCCACTGCGGCTCCCACAGAGGGTGCTGGTGAGCTGCCGCAGCACTCGCCAGGCAAGCAGGCAAGAGAAGCCAGGTGGGCATTCGGCTCCAGCAGACAGCCCTCTATCTACAGGATGATGCAAACTGCTTTGCTCTCCAAATTTTCTGCTGGAACTCAGGGTGACTCCCCTCCTCTCCCGCCTCCTCCCCTGCTCTCCTCTCACAAGGGCTCCAGCTGGACCTCCAGCAGATCATGCACCAAGGCAGGCACCGAGTTCTCTGCTGCAAGGGCACTGCCAGGGCTGGCAGCACCACAGGCCAAGGAGGGGCCAGGGCACGGTACCTTTGTTGGAGGCTGCGTCTGCTGCGGCAGTGGGGGCTGCTCCGTGGTTCCCATCGGCAGTTCAAATCGAGGGCTGGTCACCCGGCAGCCAGAGGGGATGAGAACAAGAGAAGGAGAAGAGAGGATGAGAGAGGAAGTAGGCCAGGCAGTGTTCTCTAACTTCGGCCCCAGGAAAATCAGAGCCAGCCCTGCCCAAGTACAGAGCAACACGAACCACCTGGATGTGGGGTGGGTGCTGGCTTTCAGGTCCACCTGAGGTCACCAGACAGCAGGGAGAAACAATCTGACGTGCCTGGGCTCAGGCCCAGCTCTGCCCACTCCTAGCTGTGAGACGTGGGGCAAGTGCTGCTCAGAGAAATGAAGGGAACAGCAGTTGGTACTGTCAGAGGGCATGAGCCTACTCCACGAGGGGCTTTACGCACAGAACCCCCTCCGACCACACACTCTAACTCAAGTGTCAGACTCCTCTGACAACACAGAATCCCTGAGGGACACGCCTGCCCACTCTGCCAGCAAGAATCCCCGGGCCACCTGTAGGCTCTTGGGCTCTCATCTAGGGAGCAGGACCAAGTAGGCAGCACCAGCCACCTGCCCACTGTGTGGCAGCAACCAGGACACTGTGCTTCTGTGCAAGTGTCAGTGGTGTCGACAGAGGCCGCTGGGGTGGGGGGCAGGGAGATGCTACTCTGTGGTCCCAGCACCACCCCAGAGAGAAGCCCAGCCCTACAACCACCCAAAGTGACAGATGTGCACTGAGGGCCAGGACAGAAGCACTGAGCCCTGCTGGGCAAGGAGAACCCGGCTTCAGAGGCCCACAGACCTGCCTTTGACCAGATGCCACCACGTGGCCCTGGCCACTGGCTGAGCTCTGAGCCTCAGCATTCTCACGTGTGAAATGGGGACATTCTCTCTTTCGCATTTGTGACAATTACATGAACTAGTGGAACCCCAAGCACAGGGCCCCATATAGGAGGCCCTGAAACTGAAGTTCCCTTCCTTTAGGGCACAGGTTCTTAGCCTGCAGTCCCTAATGATATGCAAGACACCACCCAGTGAAAGATATGGAGGGCAGCAGGGCCTGGGGAAGGAGCAGGGTTGGGGGACAGGGGTGGCTACTCACTGCATGAATTTACACGAGGGCCCCTCCGGGCAGAATCCTACGAGGTAATTCACACAGATGACTCTCCGCGTGTGCCGGTGCCTGCAAAGGGGACCTGGGGAGCCAAGCATCTGGGTCACGCAGACAGTCCCCTCTTCAGGGGATGCCCTCGTGCCCCTCTGCCAGTCAGAGCCCTGCCCACACCGCTGCCTGGGGTGCAGAGTAGGAGCAGGTCTTCAAATGCTGGCTCTGACTCTTATTCATAGGGGACAGTGGGCAGGGCGACAACCTCTGAAATGCTAGTTTCCTTATGAAAAATAAGGTGTGAATGAGCCCACATGGGAGCCTTGGGAAGCTCCAGTGAGCTGAGGGTGTGAAAAAGCCTCACTAGTCCCAAAATGCCTAACACCGGGTTTTGTTGGAACAGGTGGGACATGTAGAGAGGCATGTGGGCAGAGGAAGCGAAGACCGGCCTCTCGCGGGAGGTGCCCAGGCACCCCAACACCTACCGTGCTTGCAGAAGCCTCGGTCGTACCAAGGGCAGTCCTTGATCTTGGACTCGGGGTCGATGTGCAGGAAGGGACACTCCTTGTTGCTACACTCCCCTGCAGGGAAACCCAGACATGTGTCTACCTGGGACAGCTCTGGGGGAGCTGGACCCAGACCCACCTCAGCCTCTCCCAAGGCCGGGGCCTGCTGTGCAGCAAGGAGGGCCAGGCGGTTCTGGTGTCTGGTCCCAGCCTGGCGAGCCCTGAGACCTAGGGCAGAGTGTCTCAGAGCCTGGTTCCTGACCTGTACACAGGCTTTGAGGGTCCTTCCTTCACACGTGTCCGCGCTGCCACGAGGGTTAATGACACTGACAGGGCCAGGCACAGGGTACATCCATCAAATAACTCATCACTCCACCCCTTTCCCAGTCAGAGGGGGCGTCCCAGGCACCATGGGGACCTAGATATGCAAATGTACCAGCTGAGACCAGGAAATGACTGTTCCACTCCGATCAGTTCTTCACACCTACCAGCTGCGACAGGGAAAAGGTCTGAGGATTCTACCTTTTAGGACAAAAGTGGGGAAGATTTGGGAACTCAAGGCTGGGTCTCTGCGGTAGGACATGATAAAGCCTTTATGACAGCCCCTCTCAGGAGCAATCTGCCCAGCTGGCCCCCAGCACCTTTCGCCCAACTCTGGGAACCGGGCGGCCACACCTCTTTCACACTTGTCCTCTCCAGACCCTGGCACACACGAGAGGCCAACCTCACCACTGCTGTGCAAAGAAAACGCAAACTCCTCCTCAGACCCACAAGTCCCACCCCTCCCCAGTCTCCTCCTTCCCCCAGCCACAGTGGCCTCTGCCAGGACTGGCCCCTTCTTAGCCTTCAGTTCCCAGCTCAGGTCTCTCAGAGAGGCCTTCCCTGACCACTCTGCCTACAGGAGATTTCCTCCTGTGGTCCCATCGCTGTTTATTTCATTCACAGCACTTATCGAGAATAATTCTTTATTTGTCTCACTAGTGTATCCGCTGCCTCCTTCCGCGGCCACCAGAGCAAAAGCTCCACGGGGCACGGACTGGGTCTGTCTGCTTCACTACTGTCCCTCCGGTGCCTAGAAGGGGGACACTCACCTGTGTCACCTGTGGCACAGGAGCTGCGGACAGTGTGTCTGCACCAGGGCAGGCACTGCAGGGGAAGGGCAGGCAGGGAGCATCAGAGGCCTTGGGGGCTTCTGGGCCATCAGCAGGGAGGGAGAGAACCCAGGCCAGCCTGCAAAGGTGCCCTCAAGAGTCTGCCCAGGAGGGCTGGCTCCAGCCTCTGGGGCCAGATGGGAGATGGCGCCCACGGAGAAGCCACTGCTCCCTTCCAGTGCTGCTCGGGGTGGGGGAGATAGTGGGGTAGCTGGGAAGCCTGGGTCCTATTTCTGTCTGTCTGTGCTCTGACTTCGCAGCTTATGCTGCCTCTACAAAAAAGCCACAATTATTAACAAGCCAGCACGCCAAGCCTGTTGCGCTGCTGAAATAATTAAAGACTCCTCTGGCAACAGTGCTCTGAAAGCGTGCACGTCCAGCCCTCCTCAGCACCCCACAAAGAGTACAGCAGGCTTCCAGCCTCCCACTGGACCCTGCACAGGGCCCGGGGCCAGCAGTCCAGAGGTCAGAGCCCACCCTTGTCCTGACCAACAGGGCTTCTTCCTGGGCAACCTCACCCAGAGCAGAGAGCCAGGGGATTCTAGTTCAATCAGGGAGCACAACAGCTGGGCTGCCCCCTGCCAGCCCACGCCCCCCAGCACTCCCCTGCTTCTCCATGCAGTCCACTCAGGACCGCTGAGGCCACGTGTCCTCTAAGCAGGGATCAAGGCAATCTCAGTCTCAAGGTGAAGAGTAGGGCTGCCCCAGACCTGCTATTCTTAAGGGCTGTTTAGGACGGACAAGCGACTACCCTGGATCACACTCCCAGAGAGAAGGAACCAACTCAGGCCCGGGGGCAATCAGTCCCACGCTGGAAGAAGAGGCTGATTTAGGGGGGAAGGCCGACATGAGCAGAGACAGGCCTCCAGCCAGCGGCACTGCTCACTCACCCACCATGAGACCCTCATTAGTCTCAACTTTCCAGGGTACCTGAAAGTGCTCAAAAAACTGAAGCACTACAAAGCCATAGGGATTATTAGAGAATAACCATAACTTCCCGTAACTTAAGGGCCAGCTGAGGTTGGGAGGCACTGCCCAAGGTCCTCATGTGAAGCTGGAAAGATGGGAGGCAGCAGACACTGTGGGTGCGTTGAGCAGCTGCCTAACCCCTCTGGGCCTTTGTTCTCGGTGGAGCCTCCCCAGGGCGCCTGAGGCTGGGGATCTGGGTGGAGGGGGGGCCTTGCCAGCCGCCTTACCGAACTTCGAGTAGAAGTAGCACTCGGGCATCTTGGTCATGTCGTACTCGTGCAGGAACTCGCACTGGTCTCCCTTCTTGCAGAGCCCCCGCAGCCAGTGTTTGCACACAACTGTTTTCTCACCGCTGATGTGGCGGAATGGGCACATGCCCCCTGTCAAGGAAGACACGGTGGTGTAAGGAGGGAGGCGGCCCTAAGCCCAGGGGCACTGGGCCAGGGGAGCCGAGGTGATTTCACCCCACACCTCCCCCAAGCATCTGAAAGCAGCACGTCCTGGAAGGTGGTGTGGGTGCCGCTGGAAGAAGGCAATGTGATTTTAGGCAGTTCTGTACATGGGCACATATTTTAAGTTTTAATAGTTACGTATTGTATTTTAAAGTGTTTTGGAAAGAATCAAAAACATCAAATCATTTCACAGATATTACTGTAAAGTGGAGGCTTAACAATCCTGGGGAAGAGGATGAGTTTATCTCTTAATTTACTTAAAGAATAGTTCCAGGGGTACGTGGAACTTGTAGGGGTGGTAAAAGAAAGCCCAGGGTGTGGGAAACACAGCCCTAAAATATAGAATGTAAAGAGGACCACCAGCAGAAGCCTGGACCCAAGGCAGGCTCCATCTCTTGTTAAAAGTGTCCACTTAGCCTCCAAGAATTAAGAAAGATCAACTTCAGAACTGAAGAAATGCGTTGTATACAAACTAGGGGAGGTCTGCCTTTTGTAGCAGCATCTGAGTGATCATCACCCCAGATGGGACAGAGCCATACCCTAGGAAAGTCATATTTCTAACTAGTGGCCTGGCAGGACTCCTGGAAGGCCTAACCAGAATGACGCTATGACTGGGAAAGATCTAGACCAGCCCTATCTAACAGAACTTTCTGCAATGATGGGAATGTTCTCTATTTATGTTGTCCAATATGGCAGCCACTAGCAATACATGGCTATGAAGCACTTGAAATATGACTAGTGTGAGTGAGGAACTGCGTTCTTTATTTTATTTTAATTAATTTAAATTTAAATAGCCACATGTGCTATATCAGTTAACACAGACAGTCGTAGTGCCCCATGTTAAGGATGGCTGCGCTAACAGAAGGTGGCTGGTCAGAAGGGCAGAACAACCAAGGGAAGAGATGAGAATGAGACCAGGAGCCCAGCGGGGGAATAATGTCCCGACCAGAGGGCCTGAGGTCAAGCTGGCTGATCTACCCGACCAGAGGGCCAGAGGTCAAGCTGGCTGATCTATCCGGCAGGTCTATCACTTTAGTGGCAGATGACTGAGATTAGAATCAAAACTTGAAAAATCATCCATTAAAACCAGCCCCCAAGGGCCGGCCCCGTGGCTTAGCGGTTAAGTGCGTGCGCTCCGCTGCCGGCGGCCCGGGTTCGGATCCCGGGTGCGCACCGAGGCACCACTCCTCCAGCCATGCTGAGGCCACATCCCACATACAGCAACTAGAAGAATGTGCAGCTATGACATACAACTATGTACTGGGGCTTTGGGGGAAAAATAAATAAATAAAATCTTTAAAAAAAAAAAAAAAACAAAAAAAAAAACCAGCCCCCTTGCTCTAATTCTCTGCTCCCTATTCAAGCTTCTGATTAAAATTTAGTTTCCAGATAAATTTGCCTACAGAAAGAAAAATGCCCGGTCCTATACATGGCACGTAAGGTCTTGCCCAGTGATACTTATCCTTATAAATTAGTGGACAGTCTGCTCATTAGTGGATAGTGCAGCCTCTGTTAAGGCCTGGTCAGTATGAACAAGACTCCACGAGGGGCCAGCCCGGTGGCGCAAGTGGTTAAGTGTGTGCGCTCCGCTGCGGCGGCCCGGGGTTCACCGGTTCGGATCCCGGGCGCGCACTGATGCACCGCTTGGCAACCCATCCCCAGGGTGGTGGGATTCCTCAGGAGGAATGTCAGGAGCCAGGGGTCTCTTACCTTTGCCACAGGCAGCTTTCAAAAAGAACTCACAGACAGCAGCCCCCGACTCTGGAGAAACGAGAGAAAAGGAAAGGCATCAAACAAAGCAAGCTGCGACTGCTACTGGTGATGTCTCCAGACAGGGAGGGAAGCCTTCTGGCCCTTAACTCACGAAGGGTTCAGGATATAGGAAACAGACTAGCAAAAAAATGCCATGTCCCACCAAGCAAGGAAAAAGCTTATTTCAGCCATTCCCTGCAAAATGAGACATATACATTGAGACCAGTCATTACTCCATGCTTTCTGAAAGCCTTCTGTAAGCAAGACGCTTTCAGGGAGTTACAAGTGGGTGGGAGAAGGAAGGATGGAGCACAAGATCACAGAAATTAATTACCCCTAGCTCGGACCTTCCAGAGGGCTAATTCACCGGCACTTTAACGTGAGGCAGGAAGCACAAAAAAGCAAATGGGGACTCTGAGGAGGGACAGGCTGCAGAGAAGAGGCGAGTGCCTCGGAGACGCTATTCTGAAAGGAAAAGCATAATTTAAGACACAGAAGGGGCCGGCCGGGTGGCATAGCGGTTAAGTGTGCGCGCTCCGCTGCTGGCGGCCCAGGTTCGGATCCCGGGCGCGTACCGACGCACCGATTGGCAAGTCATGCTGTGGCGGCATCCCATATAAAGTAGAGGAAGATGGGCACGGATGTTAGCCCAGGGCCAGTCTTCCTCAGCAAAAAGAGGAGGACTGGCAGATGTTAGCTCAGGGCTGAACTTCCTCACCAAAAAAAAAAAAAAAAAAGACACAGAAGCAGGACTGCTCTTAATATGCAACATCAACACACAATTATTAAAGGAGCACAGTCTCTTGCTTACACAGATGCAGCCGGCTCAGGAGAGGGGTACAGGAGAATAAAAGCTGAACATGGTAGAAGTCAGTGGGCTCCAGGAGTAAGCTGTTCTAACGACACCAGAAATTCGCCTGCCATGGCTACCAGAATAAACTGTCGTGGCTTCAAAAACAGTTTTCTCTATCAGCAGGCATTTTAGAATGGCTGAAAACCCAGTGACAGCATCTCTGAAGGCCATTTACGTGCCTCTCCTTGCTAACTTGCACGAGATTCCTTGGCTTCTTAGAAGCAGGCAGATTTTGCTAGGACAGACTTAAGGTTGTAGAACTGGGAGTCATAACACTGTCATTCATTTGCATTTCAAAAAGTCTAAAAAGTCTTACACTAAAAAATGTATCACTTAAGAGTATTTCTGGGCCTTCGTTCTTTTCAGAGATTAAGGTTGCTTCATTACTTAAAGCCAGAAGTCTAGTGGTTTCAGGCGGACAGGATAAAAGAGCATGCCTTGAGGGCAGAACTGACAGTTCTTCCCAAAACTAAGACAGGAATGAAGTGCAGGGACAAGGGAGGAAGGGCTGTGGCCGCCCTGGGCTTTAACACAATGAACTCAATCTGAGGGCAGGCAGTGAGTGCTGAGGGCACCTACCAAGTCTGAGGCGGGAGGCTAGGGCCACACGCATGGCTAGGCTGTCCTTGACCCTCCCTAAGAATAGGTGTGTGGGCCCCTCGCCACTGCGCCTGCCCTCACAGACTCAAGTATCTGTGGTCCCAGGCTGAAAAAAGGTGGGAGGGAAAGAGCTGCCCTGCATGGACCTTCCATGGTCTCAAGCTAGTGCCACCAACACAGGAAAAGGCCACGTGTGCCCAAGTGGATGTACGTGTACAAGCACGAGGTGATCACATGCATCGAAGGGTAGATAAATAAGTGTGTATTTGAATTTGAGCAGTTCCTTATAAGACATACACAGTGGAGATGGTGCTTGTGCACGTATAAAATAAGGTTGTCTGAGGTATGTCTCTTGGGTATAAGCAACATCTCACACAGAAGTGTCAGCATGAGGGGGACACCTGAGGCCATGTGTGCAGAAGTGCACTTGAGGGGAATAAGGCTGCAGGGAGTCTCTACCAGACCAGGGACCGGTGGTTGAACACGGGCCAAAGTCCACTAGCAGCTATGTGAGACAGCACAGGGAACTGCAAACAGAACCAGTCAAGAACTCTGGAGAGCTTACCCAGCTCCCCAGGCACTGAGTGGTTTTCAGCCAGTCCCTTCCCCCACCCAGGCCTCAGTTGCCCCAGCTGTGGATTGAACTCAGTGACTTCTAAGAGCCCTCTGAGCTTTAATGTTATAGCGTCAGACATCAACTGTATCCGGAAAGGTGAGAAGACAAGAAAACTGCTGGTTTCTTTTCAAGTCCTAGACATCCCACCTAAGTGAGGGCGTGGGGGAAGCAGGAGCCACCATGTGAAGGAGAATGGAGGGAGCCCAGGCAACTGCCCAGGTGTCATGAATGACCCAGAGTTGGGGTCCAGAGAAGAAGTGGGGATAGGCTCTCAGAAGTGCGAGTCCTAGGAGAGGAATGGAGCTTGAGAGTCTTTAACTGTGGGTCTCCGACAGAGAGGGAGAGGTGGTCCTTCCCTCAGCATGAGTCATCCAATATCCCAATTTGGATGAAAACAAGAGGAGGGCGCTCAAAGCGGGGGGGCTGGAGGTGGGAAAGGGGGCTATCTTAGTACTTTCCTGTAGTTAGAGGGAGGAGGGAGTAACTGCCAATCCGAGATACCCGCCTTCACTCAAGAATTCTTTGAACAAGAGGACATGGTCCTGCTCTCCTTAAGATTGCCTTACAAGAGCCCAGAGAATCGACGATCCGAGGAAAGGGCTCTGGAGTCCGAGTGCAGGAAGAAGGGGATCCCAGGACCGGGGGGAAAGGATCCCCGGGACCGAAGGGGAAGAGCTCCCGAACCCGGGGGGAAGGCGTCCCGGAACCCAGAGAAGGGGATCCTGGGACCAAGGAGAAGGTCCCGAACCGAGGGGGAGGACATCCCGGAGCCCAGAGGACGGGCTCCTGGGACTGAGAGGGTCCCGGGACCGAGTCGGTCGCGCCCCTCGCCCGCCGGCCCCGGCCCCGGCCCCGGCCCCGCGCTCACTGTCCATGCCGGGGAAGGGCAGCGGCTGCGCCCCGAGCTGCTGCTCCACCGCGATCTCCAAGTCGAACTTGATGTGGTCCACGCTGGCGATGATTTCCTGCATGGCGGCGGCGGCGGCCCCACCGGCCCGGCTCCCCTTCAGGTCCCTCGCCGCGCTCACACCTCTGCCTTCCGCCGGCCCGGCCGCACACGGTCCGCCACCGCCTCCCCTCGCCTCGCCGCCGCCGCCGCCGCCACCGCCGCCACCGCCGCCCGAGGGATGCCGGGAGCGCCCGGAGCCCGCGCCTGCCCGTCGCCCGTCCAGACCGGGCCAATCGAGCGCGGAGTACGGGCCGCTCCGCTAGGCCCGGCTAGCCGCCAGCCGAACGCCCGCCTGTCCTCTGGGCCGCGGGTAACCTGAAACCACGTGCACGGGGAGTTCGTGACGCGGACTGCGCTTGCGCGAAGTCGCCTGGGGCGCGCGCCAGAGGTGGCGGGGAAGGAGAGTAGGTTCTGCGGCGCGGCGAGGCTGGGGCGCCACTGGGGTTGACGCGAGGCCTGGCGGGGAGCGAGGCGGGGAAGGGTGGGAGGTGACGCGGGGGGCTAGGCGGTGCCGGGCGGGCGTGGGGCCGCGTTCACTGGGCCGGATTCTTCGAGCGAGTTCCTATTTGATCCGGAGCCCGGGACGTTGGCGGGGACAGGCCAGAGAGGTAGCGAGTTTCGCAGCCGGGGTCGGAGCCGGGGGCGCCCGGTGAGGAAACCAAGGCTCTGAAGGCCAGTGTGGACAGGGGTCCCGGTGGCCTGAGGGTCCGGGGAGCGTCGGCGGGGAGCGGGTACCCAGAGGAAGGACAGCGGCAGCGTGCCTCTAATTCAGGGGTTATTAGTCTGGGCAGGTTAATGAACTTGGGTAGGAAGAAAATGACACCTTTATTTTCTCTGTGTGAAATGGAGCATTGCTTTCCGTGACTGACGGACGAGTAGCGTTAGCTGTGCCCGAAATTAAGTCGTAATTTCAAGTGGGGACGAGTGCAAATGATAGTTGGAGACAGAGTATCTGCAGCCACTGCAAGCTGTTATTTACACTCAGCACTGCTTTGACATGATGGGGTCTTGTTATTTAATGCCTTGAAAAAGAAGCATGGGGCCCGCCCCCGTGGCTTAGCGGTTAAGTGGGTGCGCTCTGCTGCTGGCGGCCCGGGTTCGGACCTCGGGCTCGCATCGACGCACCGCTTCTCCGGCCATGCTGAGGCCGTGTCCCACATACAGCAACTAGAAGGATGTGCAACTATGACATACAACTATCTACTGGGG